AGCCAATTGTCGTGCTTGGCCAAATCCTCGGAGCTGGTTGAAATGGACAGCTACAATTAGCAATGTATTGGCTGGCGGGGAAGAGGACTTACTGATTCACTAGCAGCACCACAGTGGCGCCCGATAACGCCAGCAAGCCCATGACCAAAATGTTGACCAATATCCTTTGCAGGATGACGCGCCAGCTGCGAGCACAAGACTCCAATTATAAACTGCAATTGACGCTGATTATCGTTGTACTTACTTGCGATTATCCTTTTTCTTTTCAGCTTCCTCGAGCAGCGCCTCCTTGAAGCCAACCACAACGGATGCGATGCGATTATGCGCTGTCTCCGCGTGTCCTGTTGTCGGTGTAAATCCAATATAATCACGGCACTCGTTTAGCTGCTATTGCCACTTACCAATCATAAAGTCCCAGCCGGTGAACAGCTTCCAGGAGAAGACGCACTCATCATCCTTTGAGGAAAGTTTCGAATTGCGCGAGTTCTCAGCCATCCTGCCAAAGTAGATAAAAGTGCGAAAAAGTTTTCTGTTAGCTGCTTACAACACATAATTGGCGCACAAATCCGTGCAAAGACAAATGCCACATAAATTTGAGTACAATTCACGCATGCCGCGCACGTGCTGCAAACATGTGGCAGGCAGGCAGGACAAGTGGCAAGGTCAGTGCCGGCATCCGCGCTGTTGACATTGCCTCTTTGTTCAATTACGAAATCAACATAATGCCAACAAAGCCATTAAACGGAACAAGCGTATACACGCCCTAGCCCTCGCTTCCTCCTCCAATCGACCTAACGGCCTAGCTTCTGCCCCTGCCCCTGCCACAGTCGGAGCCACAGCCACAGCCATAGCTGCTGCAGGTCTCGTGTCTGGCCGCGTGCGTGCGTAAATCATAATGGCCAAGTTTCTTGTGATAGGCGAAAAAGTTTTGCCTTTTCCTTGTGCTGGACACGCCTAGCGACAAGATTTGTATTATTTAATCAGCACGACGTTCGGTTTAATTAATTAACGACCATTTTTGGCATTTAGTTTGCTTTTGTGGCTTCGATGTCCAGAGATTTAATGAAGTGCCCTTCAGTGCACGCCCCGCCACGACCTCTACTCACTTTCTCAGCGTGGCCACAAAGCTGTAGATGTAGACCAGGACGGCGGTAAGAAAATAAGCCAAAGGCAGCTTATAGCCGGATGTGCTGATGCCGGAAGTGCTCGAGTAATAACTAGAAACAGGAAGTGAGCCAAGAGATAAATATGCACAATGAAAGCAGGCAAAACAAATAACCAGACAGAGCGCAAATTTCCCAATTTGCCTGTAAATATTTTTGAAACCTACCCATAGAACATGGGCGAATACTTCAAGTAGCCCTCGAATTCCCAAAACGTAAAAAGATTACCGGCCACTTTGTATTCCGGTTCAGACATGCGTTTGCGCGGATCCGTTTCGTCGTGCTTGGTGGCAAAATACTATTATGGCAAATATATATATGAAAAACATGGTTAATATATTGTTTTTGCTGCACGCTCACCTCCGGTCCAATAACAAAGGCAACGAGCGGAATGGCAATCATAATGTTGACCCACATGAGCCAGCGCAGGAATGTAAAATAGGATGCGACGCCGGAGCCGAAATGCGATTCGATTTCCTTGATGCGCAGCTCCCAGGGTATGAGCACTGTAAGAAAGCTGGCGGTTTCGCGTTTCCAATGCCGCCAGCGCTGCGGAAGAGCACAAAGAACATGCGTGAATGCCACAGATTCGAATTCGTATTCGGATTCGTATTTTTTTTTAATTGGTTATCATGTGGATTACACAGCCAAAACAAAAAGAGAGAAAATGCAGTTTGTCGACACATTTTGTGAATTATGGAGCTCTTGATTTATTTGTGGCCCATAAATTGTGTAAACATAAATATATGCAGGATACTTGGCTGGCCAGCCGGACTAAGGGGCCTGGTCTTGCATTATCGCTGAAGCAAAGTGTTTGCTTAAGGCAAAGAGTACTTGCTGTGTGTTGGTGTGTGTATGTTATAGTGCTGAAAGATTTCACTTACCGCTGCCATTAAAATTTTAAACCTCGCCCACAAATCTCTCGTGCTGCGTGACATGGCAAAGCGCTCCTGCAGCGCGCCCTCGTGGCGTGCCACATACGTTTTCGCCTGTCAACATCATTAAAAATGCCAAGCAAAAAAAAAAAACATAGAAAAGAAACCGCCAGGAGGGCGAGAAAAGATTGACACATGAAATCGAAATATTTGCTGTGAATTTAATGGCCCACTAGCTATGGCTAAGGCTAAGGCTAAGGCGTGAAATGTGACGCGCCCAGCTTTGGCCCAGTTAACCGAGCGGATTGGACGAGCTGCCTACCTGGCGCACCAGCTTGAGCTTTTTGCGTATATGCCATGGTTGTAATTTGACCGACTGTATAACCTCCTTGTGTAGGCGTATATTCTCAAAGATTTGCTCCTGTGTGGACTCCTGATTGGTGCCCTCCTCTGCGAAAGCAAAATAAACATTACACATACGCAACGTTGACCACGTGCCACTAAATGGGCGCACGTAGCTCGAGAAATTACTATAACTGCCTTCACACACACACACGCACACACACATTGATTAGCCACTGGAGGGCAGTAAGTTAAACGAAGTCTTTGAAAGCAGCTATTGGTTTGAGCCTTGCCTGAGCTTGTTGTATAAACACTGGAGCGTCGCCGCTCCACATTATCGAGCATGTGATCCATGGGACTCGATGCACGCCGCGAATTGCGACTGCCACGTTTGCCTCTATAGCCACGCACACTGGCACGTCTTTGCATTATCGCCGATACGGAAATTGAGTAGTCCTCCTCATCATCATCAGCATCAGCATCAACGGTGCCATTTTGTTGCTGCTGCTCGTAGGAAAGTTCCTGCTGATGTGTTGGCTCCTGGTTGTTGTTGTAGGCACAACTGTCAGCGTCGCTGCTTTGGTTGGGTACGTGAAAATCTGTGCACACGGAAATGGAAATGTTTGGAAATTGCGACAAGTAATTACAATTATGTGCAGCTATTCGGGGTAAGTTCTAGTGCATACCGTTTAGTTCATAAGATTTGTTATCGTCCTGCGATGCAGTTCTTAAAAAAAAAAGAAGGAAAATCCTTGTTTTATACAACTGCAATTTAAATCAATTTTCTTGAATTCACCCGAGCCTTCACTTACCGTCTGCCTTTTTGTCCTCTATAATATTCTCTTCGCTCGTCGGCACTGCTCTGCATTTGCCAGCCGCCTTTATCCCAATCACATGGCGGCGCCCACGTCACAGATAATTGATGTGGAGAGGTAACGCCCGAGTTGTTCTAGGAATTGTTCAATTTTAATTAAATTTCTGCTTTCGTATATCAGATGGGGCTAGTCGCTAGCCAAAACATTTGCATATAAACATATATATTTAACATTTAAATCACACACATAGGCATCTCGTCATTGTTTATATTATATAATACTTTTTGCTCATCACTATAGTTATTTGATTATTATAAATACTTAAGTCTTTAATCTACAAAGTTTTCTATTAAATTTCGTGGCACCAAAGTTGATTCAATATTGGTTTGTTGTGCCGTCGTAACGCTTTGGAGCAGCCTTATACGCAGACTGAACGGCTTAGCGAGCTGGCCAGACCAGCAAGCCGCACTCACAGGACATCAAAAGGACAACGCGACACACAAACACACAAATACACACAGACACAGAAAGATAGGTTGAAGAGCGAGCGAGCGCGCTAAGTTAAATTTTTTCTAATAATGAATGAATATGAATGAAGCGCAGAGACCCAAACCGAACCCCACCCATGGCCAACAGACTTATCAAAGCCAAAACGTGCCCAAAACGCATACACAGACACAGCAGCACACACACACACACACACACACACACACACCGCGCGCATACACAAACTCAAGAACGTTAAGGAATTTACATAGACACGCGCGGCGGCATTGAGGTAGGAAAGGGCGTGCAGAGGTGGAAGGGGGAGGGGGGGGGGGGGAGTTGACCACTCGTTGACTTCCTCGCCCAGTTGAAACGAAGACGAATGAGCGTTAAAATCGCCAGCGGCATGTGATAACAACGCCAGGCGTAACCAGTTGGCCAAACCAAGGAGTCAGGCAACCAGCCAGGACATCGAATGTTCATTTAGATGGCCGACAAAGCCCTATGTGTATATGTGTGTGACGGTGTGCCTTTGTGTGTGTGTGTGTGTGTGTATGGCAGGATTGAGTCACGTTGTATTCTTGTCCTGGCTAGCCGACCGGGCTGGCATGTAAATGAAAATCAAACATGCAAGGGTTGATAAAGAAAATCGCAAATTACAACAGCAAGAAACACACACTAACACACAAGCACACACTCGCGCACACACACACACACACACACACACACGAGCATAGGACGCGCCCACTATTGAAATATGTTTTCATATAACTTTTAGTCGTCTGCTGTGTTTCGGTTTCGCTTTCGCTTTCAAAAGCGCTTTTTACCAGATTTCACTATCCTTTAACTTTTTGACTGTGCTTTTAATTAAATGAAGTTCTGCCTGCTACGGCCTTTTTAATTAACGTCAAAATTTATTTGTGCGTGCCATATGGCGCCAAATGGCAACCCCTCCCCTTCCCCCGACCACCTTCTTAACAGAAATCATGTCGCACGTGTAACATAATTTGGTGGGTTTATATGGGTTCATTAGCCGCTGTGACAGGTGCAACGGCATTTGGCAAATGCCTTCTTGTACCAGAGACCTGCTGACCCAAATGCCACACCCACAACACACACTCACACCTACACACACTCTCACACATGTGTTAGTTTAAGTGGTTTTCCATGTTCGATTGCAGTTTTTTTTTTTTTTTTTTTTTTGAGGTGCTCGTCATAAATCTAACGCCCAAACATGGGCTAAGCCCGAGGCAATGCAATATATTTGGCTTACACGGCTTTGACCTCAAAAGACGCAGAGAACGGATAAGACTATAGAATTTGGGTTAATCGCCGGGCATAACATATTAATTTTACAATTTTAACAACTCTTTGCTATTATTATGTGACTAATTTAAGCGGCAGACGTTCTCCTCAGTCTTGGAGCGCCGAATTGGGTAGTCTTTTTTTGAGAGTCGTCTGTATTGTGGCTCACGTTTCAGCGTATGATCCATAATGGAACTGCAACTTCTGGAGGTGCTGCCCAGATGCAAACGCACCTCTTTGGCCGATCCGGCGCTTTCCTCGCTTCTAGAGCGTCGGCACACTTTGCACCTGTGCTGCGTTGTCGTGGCAATTTTTTTGATCGCATGTGTCTTCAGTTCCGCAGCGCATTCCAGATTATTGCGCATGATCTGACGCGCAAACTTGGAAAGCACCTCCTGTTTCAGGTGCTTGCCCTTTAGGGGACCATGGCGACAATTCTCGCGTATCCAGCGTCGCACATTGCGACAGCCCACATAGAATTGGGTCGTCTCGGTCATATGGTTCGGCATATTTTTCAGGAAGCCCAGATCAGTAAGCAGCCCAAAGCCGAGATCGAAAACGTTGCGGTGCAGCGGCGGCGGATTGGGGCCATCACTTGTCAGGAACATTTCCGGACCCACAGCTTCCAATTTTGTCATTCGCTCCGCATTAAAGCGACGATCTGCCGCTGTGCAATAGTTCCAGTTCTCAAAGCTAATGTTGTCTTGGGTCATCGTGAACTGAACGGGCAGCAAATCGGTGAAGCTCATTCTGCTAATATGCGTTAGCTCACCGTGTTTATGCACCACAGTGAAGAACACACAATATGGCTTTGGTAATTCTATGGTTCCATTGCCGTGGAAGCGATTATTGTAGAACTGGCCCAAGTATCTGGTGCCGTCGGGATAGACATAGAGTCCGTAGTCCTGCATGCCCAGCTCATTGTAGTTTCCATAGAATTTAGAGCCCGTGAGAAAGCTGGCAGTCTGAGTCCTCGACGTTAGATTTTCCATTGTTGGGATGATTGCTATGCACGCGATATGTTTATGATTGTTTTCTCTTTATATTTATTTATTAATATTATATATTATGTTTGTGTGTAGTATATTTTATTTGCAAAATATTTAACTGGCAATGTCAACACAAACAAATTTTTTGAGAGTATACATAAACGTTAAATTTCATCGCATTGTGTGTTTTCAAAATATGTTCAATTTTCATCTATTCGCCCAGTTGAAAGGATTTTCCCTTTCGATTTGACGCAATGCGCAAAGCATGTCGCCCATGATGATATTTTACACACATCTGAAGTTAATGAAATAAGAAACTGAATAGGTTGTATACACGCGTTTTGGAGCAATGTTTTTTAGCTTTGCATCGAAAACTATTTTTTAATAATAAATAAAATAACATTATTATTGAATTTAATCTCAAACGCCCTTACAACAGTAGTCCTGGCTTTCCAGCATGTGGCTTCAGCTTTTTATATATTTATAATTTTGAACTTCATGAGTCTATTGAATTTATTCAATCGTATGCATTACTTGAATTTGTATTAAACAATATATTGAATGCATAATTTAATTTGATGGTAGGATTTATAGCTCGAATACGGAACCTGTTATGTCCACAAAGCTGCCTGGACGTTTCATATTCGATTGGACCACATGTAAGCTACCTGTGGGTATCTTCTGTATCATCGGGAACGCATTATCGTAGAAAGTCTTGACATTTGTGTGCAGTGATACGTCCGACGGACTCTTTGATATGGTGTTCGTGGCGCCCGAGTCCCCGCTTAGTGGATCCGAGCTGCTGGTCCACACGCGAGCCCTGGCTGGTGGCATTTTATCAGACAGACGTTGCTGCTTGGCTTGTTCCTGCTCCTTTGCAAAACGCGCAAGCAGGCAGAGCTCAGTGGTCGTTTTTATTTTTTGGAATGGAGGGCGTGTAAATGGTATCTTTTTCTGATCTGCGGTTTGGCTATCAGCTGCAATAGAGTCGCGGCACAGCTTGGGGAAGTAGCGTTCGCGATGAACCTCCTTGTCGGGTGCATAGATGGTAATATCCTTCAGTTGGCTTAGCTCGGTCTCCAGATTGTTGTTAATGATTTGCCTGCAAAAGCTTGGCAGCGGCTCTCGGACATTCTCCTTACGCTCACCACGGCAATGCCGCATTATCCAGGCTTTCTCCTGCGGACAGCCCACGTAGACCGCCTTCGAAAAGGGCGGCGGTCTCTCGCACAACCAGCCAGTCTTGGCATTGAAGATTCCCTCTTCCACATCATAGCATTTATGGGGCACAGTGCGCGCTAGTAATGTGCTTGTCAAATAGGCTGTAGGGCCCACGGGCTGCTGCCCATAGAAACGCTCCGTCTGATAGCGACGATCGCTCGGCGTTAGATAGTCCCAATCATCGCACATGAACTGGTCATCCTGGAAACTGCCCTGTACGTGGAGCCCATCATTGAACCACATATCCTCAATGGTCACCAGTTTGCCTCTTTCAAACTCGCCCTTGATTGTAAAGCGAAAGGGTTGTGTCAGCTTCAGGTGCCCATAGCCATGGAATTTGCCCTCGACGAATCTACCCCGATACTCGCTGCCATCCGGATAACGATAGCTACCGAAGCCATCCATCATGCGCACCGATTCATTCCAGGAGCCCTCAAAGCTGCTTCCCGTGAGGAAGCGTATGGAGGCAACATCCGTTTGGTTCAACGACATTCTGCTCGGAATTTCTCTTATTTCTGTTAGACTCTGTTATATTTTGTTGTTTGATGTAGTTTTTGACTGGTTTTTTTTTGGGCTTGTATTAAACTAGAGAAAATATTGTTCTGAATGACTGTGTGACGAGCACTTGACCCACTTCTGAAGCCTGCTTTGCTGAGATTACACGTTAACTTTATGACTTAATGAGTGCGTGCCAAGGCGTGGTCCAACCCGCCATGTGTTTGCCCCGTACGAGTCGCTGGTCATTAAGCGTTTAACTTTATGTACACTTTACACAATTGTAGTGGGCAAAAAGGGTATTATAAAGTTGTATGAACTACATATACCATCGCAGCCTCAGCCTGTCCTAATGAGCGCTGCTTAGGGCATTCACTTTTCGATTAACGCTCGGTTTTTGCTAATGCATTTTATGGTCATTTGCAAGAGAAAAATCCGCAAAAGAAAAACAGATTTGACCAGGTGTTGGTGGCGCTTATGGTTATGGGTTTGTGTGCCGCTGCTGCACGTGTCCTGGCCAAATCGTAAGCACTCCCCGGCGTACAGTAAATCATTCTCACTTACCTCACTGTTGGCGCCCGTGACATTGGCGCTGCTGCTGCCACCGCCACCGCCACCAGCAGCACCAGCACCACTCACGCAACGAAAATCAACGGAACCACCTGATGAACGTCGTGGCTTGCTTATGTCCAGCCGGAGTATGCCCGGCTTGGGACGACGTGGCTCAGGGGCGGGTGTGCTGCGCATTGTGTCGGCCGCTTCGATAGATGTTGTGGCCATCGATGGGGCCACATTTTCACTCGACTCGTTTTGCATGTCCTGGCAAATTCACTGAGTGCCGCGCACACGTCCGCTGTGCAGCGCCAACGCGAACGTACTATATCCATGTCCTGGCCAAGGAAGCAACAATTACGCGCCCAGTCGGCAGCAGCAGCAACAGCAGCAACAACAGCAGTAGCAGCGAAAATAAAATGTGAATTAAACGCGTCGGCGTTGGCGTTGAAGCCACGCAATAAATGTGAAAGTGAATGTAAATGTGAATGTGAATGACGTTGGCGCGGCGACAGCAGGAGCACAGGACACGCGGCACTTTCAACTGTTTCTTGTTGCTGTCACATAGCTCACATGTTGATGTTGTTAACTCTGCACACTGTGCGTGTGTCCGTACGTCTGTGTGTGTGTGTGTGTGTGTGTGTGTATTTATGTGTTTGTGTCTGTGTGGACTTCCTGTTTTCAGGGTCGTCTCGCTGCCTACACATTAACATGGCTTTTAGCTTTGTATAATTATGTCCGTTGCCTGTGCCCCAAAAAGTGTCAAAAAAAACTATATAAGAAAAATAAAAGTGAAAATATCGCATGTCGCGCTTTTCATTTTTCATTTTCATACGCTCCATTAGTGTGCTTCTTTTGCTTTTAGTCGCAGACCCCGTCAGCCGTCGGCGTTTCCCCCCGCCCCTGTAACAATCGTAGTAATTATGACCGCACACACACACAAGTCGAGTTGGGTGGGTTTTTCTAATTTTCAATATGCGATATATACGCTCACACGCCCACTGGTCGCTGCCGCCCCATGGACAAGCGCATGAGTGCGCTTGTTAGCTGCCAGCCAAGCCCACTTGCTGTGCCATGTACCATGTCCTGGCGCGTCCTAGCGCGTCCTGCTGGCTCCGATGATATGCAGCGCTTGGCTCCATTACATGCGCAGCACGTTAAATTAATTGAACAGCAAAGTGTGCAGCAACAGCAACAAATTAAAAACTGCATGTGCGTTTAATTTTTATTATTCACTTTATTCTGCTGCATAGCTTAAAATCATAAAATGGAATTAATCTAACATTAGATGGTTCTGTAAAATGCTCTTAGAATGTTCGCGTAAGAAACGTTCATACAATGCGATATGCGATATGTGTGTGTATGTGTGAGTGTGTGTTTGTGTGTTAATGTGCGTGCATGTTTTCTATTTATGCTTAGTACAAATTTCAGTTTCAGTCTCAAAAATTGTTGCATAAATTAACTAAAACATTACGTACATCCGTTTTATTAAATCTCGTTTTCATTTTTAAAATTAGTTTGAATTTTGCGGAAATGCCTTAAAATCGTTAGGGATATCGTATCTTAATATAAATAGATTGTTCGCAGCCCACAGAGAACTCTGCTGGATCAGCTTTAATATTTATAAATTAATGTCAACTTATTTCATTTAAGCTTCAAAACTATTAAAGTTTGAGTGCAATTTAATTCGACTCATTTTGCACTCAAGCTTCAATCTGTTTGAACTATTTAATCTACCTGGTTTTCCAGTTGTACGCTTAAATCCACTCAGGCTGCGGTAATCACGTACACGCCACGTAGCCCGCCCACATAAATTTATAGAGCTGCCCAAAATGCTCGCACACAAAACGGCGGCCGCATAAAAGTAAAATCGATTTATGCATAAAAATGCCTGATGCTGAAAAATGTATGAATAGCAAACATTTGAGCTGCTGATACTTGTGTAAGCCACAGTGTGTGCAGGTGTGTGCGTGCGTTGTGTTGTGTTGTGTTGTGTTACCCTTGTTGTTAACTTGGCTTATTTACTTAGCCATACATTTTCCAGCAGCCAAATCCGCAAGGCAGCTGCAACAGCTACGTTCTGTACGTTATTTTCTCCATATATAATTTTCCACATTGCTTCCTTTTGCGCTTTTTGCATGTTGTGTTTGCTTAGCTTAATAACCAGTTTTTCTCAAACATGAAAAGTTGGCCAAGTTAAGCAGCAATTGCGGTGCTTTTATTATGCTTCGTTTCGTTTATGTTTCGTTCGAGTCAAGAGGGCGTATGATAAATGCTCCAGTTTTGTCCACCTAATGAATTGCCTGACTGCCTGACTGCCTACCTGCTTGTTTGTGCAGGATGTGATGCATGTGTGTGCGTGTGTGTGTGTGCCTGTGTGTGTGTATTACATGCGAAATACATTTACTTAGTTTATTAATACTTAAATACACATTGAGCTTAAGCCTTATGCTCGCTAATTGACTTATGTCTACGCTTATTTATTACTTTATTCTTGCTTCTATCTCGTCTTTTTGCATGAGTGCGTGTGTGTGTTTGAGTGTGTGTTCATGGCATTTTAATGAGCATGTCGTTCGTTTTGGGTTAATTTGGTCATTTAGTCTATTGATTTTCATATTTACTATCCTTAGTATATAACTAACTAGCTACTTGGCTCGATAAAAGCCCCATTGCCTAGGGCTATGCTAAAAAAAAAACGCAGTTAGCAGCTAATAAACGCACACATTACGGCTGGCAGGGGTTGAAGATAGAGGGGGGGTCTAGCTAAAATGTTGTCACTTTGCCCAAACGCATGCCAAGCAATTTACGACGTTTTTTGGCGCTTAACTTAGTCCAAATGGTGCTGCTGCCCTCGACGAGCAGAAATTCATCGCATAAATCATCCGTTTCCTTTACCATGCCGCCATAGAAATGATCCTCCTGATACTTCTCAGAGCGCGAGTCGCCGGAAACGAAGCCGCTTTCTGGGCGGGACAGCGAGGCGGTATGCCAGGGCAGCTGTTGAAACCAGCGAGCCACTTTGGCCGTCGACGAGAGCTGTGAAAATGAGTCGAGCATAAACAAAAAGTCAGTGTGTAAATTTATGCAAATGAGTTATGTGCGCAAATTGCTGTCCACCAACACCAGAGAATGTGGATAGAGAAAAGAGAGGGGGAGAGAGAAGGGGGCGCTGAGAAAGCAAAGTGAAAAAACGGCGACACTTGTTTTTTTTTTGTGCTTTCTGCACTTTCTGCTTGCCATCGTTTTTCATTTATCACACCAAATTTATGCACTGCGTGCTCGGCCGTTCATTATCCGACACGGCGTATGCGTAATACAAATGCGCTTAAGAGTATGCAGCGCTTTTTTCTTTGCTGCCCTCGAAAGTATGCAGCGTGTTTTTCGTTAGCTTCTGCTGTAAAACTCATTAGGGAAATTGTCCAACGCTGCGTAAGCTGACAATTATTAATGAATGTAATGATAATATATGATTTTATAGAGATATTTTATTATTTTTATGCTTTTTTATTGCTGTTGTTTGCCTGTTTTGTTGTTTGTAGCTTAATGTTTAGTTAATAAATAAAACGAGAAATTGTATATTTAACAGTTGCTGCAACCAATTAATCTTGCGTTTGTTTTCGACATTTGTTCACATAACAATTGTTAAATCATTTCGCTCTATCCGACTTTGTGAGCAAACATTTTTTGGAAGTTTTGCATAACAGAACATTTATATAACAACAGTTTACTAAATAGTTTTTAACTAAAGCGATTTAGAGCTTAACAACTAGTTACTTTGACACTTTAAAGGGAGAGAAAATACTTTGATATATAATTTATTTTTTATTTTATGATATGCTGCAGTTGTAGTATATTTTCTATTTGCCTTTTGAAAATTACCTTGCAGGACTAGAAATTCAAAGAACTTAACAATTGCAAACTAAAAAACAAGTTTTGCGCTATCATTTAATACTGTTACTCATATTCATGCTCATACTCATACTCCAACTCGTGCTCATACTCATACCCATACTCATACTCAAACTCATACTGACACTCATACTTATCCTCATACTCAAACTTATACTCATACACATACTGATGCTCATACTCATACTTATCCTCATGCTCATATTCATACTCATTCTCACACTCTTACTCATTCACATACTCATATTCGTTCTCAAACCCTCACTCATTCCCATTCACACACTCACATTCACGCGCACACGACTTAGCTTAGGTGACTATTATAACTTAAGAGCTGGTCCACTCTCAATGGTTATTGTTGGATTCTCATTTGGTGGTGTGCCTGGCCCAGGCGGTGCGCTGAACCTGGCTCATCATTTGGCTACGGTTGGGCACCTTCTCGCTGGTGCTGCGCGTTATAAAACTGGGCGTGGCCGATAGCTTGCGCTGATGACCCGCCTCGTCGGTGACACGCAGCAGTACAGTATTAAAGCGGGTATCTCTCGAATTGTTATTGTTGTTGTTGTTGTTGTTGACATTGCTCTGACAGCTGCTGCCGGGACTGATGTTATTATTGCTGCTGCGTTGACGCGGCGACGATGGTGAGTCCAGCGTGGAGGAGCTGCAACTAGTGTCCCTTGTACTAGTGGAGCCGCCACAGGCCAAGCTAGCCAGATTGCCATTAGACACCGCAACCTTAAGCTGCTCCTCCAGGCTATTCAGATTCTGCTCTATGCTCAGACGCAAATCCTCGTTCAGCATGGAGCTGCCTGTGTATGAGTTGCGATTCAGTGTGCCCAGCGGCGATGGCGTTAGTGCGCCCGCATTAAGTCCGCCCGGCGACGTCAGAAAGTTAAATCCACCAACCGCATTGTTGTTGCTCAGCGTCGAGGGTGTTGCTGGTGTGCAGGACAGCGGATTTACAAAGAAGTAGGAGCTGTTAGGCGACGCGGATGGTGTTTGCGGCGTCTGCGTTGCGTTCGCACTTAAATTCAGCGCCTGCAGGCGATTCAAGAGCTCCTGGTTGACCTGAAACAGATCCTTCGAGAGCGCATCCTGCTGCTGCTGTTGCTGCAGCTGATTACTAATCGTCTGCAGCTGGCTCATTGTAGGATATGAACTGCTACCACTGGCTCCTGTGGACGCTAGAGGCGGCGTTGGTGGCGTCAGCTGCGCCTGTTGATGTTGCTGTTGCTGTGGCGTCGGCGTCGACGGCGTCTGTTGCAGGCTTTGTAGGTTTTGTAGGTTCTGGCTCTGCTGATTGAGGCCGCTCAGCTGCTGGCTCAGCGAGGTCAATTGCTGATTGATGTTGCCCAGATTGTTAATCTGCTGATTGATTGTGGCCAAATTGTTGTTGTTGCTGGTCGCCTGTAGC